GACAAATTCCATATGATCCCACTTATATGTGGAATCTAAAGAACAGAATAAATGAGCAAACTAATCAGAAACTGTCTCAGAGATATAGAGAAAAAACTGAGGGTTGCTAGATGGGAGGGGGGTGTGGATGAAGGTGAAGGAGAGGGAATTAGGAAGCACAAATTGGTAACCACAATATTGCCATGGGAATACGAAAGACAATTTGGGGAATGTAATCAATAACGTAAAGATTTTATAGGGTGTCAGATGGGCACTTGTCTTATTAGGGAGACCACTTCATAGACGGTGTAGATGCCTGACCACTGCACTGTACACCTGAAGCTGCATAATAATGAATGTCAACTGTAATTTAATGTATATACCAAATGTTTAACAAAGAATTAACATCAATTCTACACAATATTTTTCACAAACTAGAAGAGAACACTTCCTAACTCTTTCTATGAAGTCAGTATTATCTTGATACTAAAACCAGATGAAGACAGTGCACAAAAACAACACTTAAGACTGATATTTCTTATCAATATGGTTGTAAAAATTATTATTATTATTTTAAGATTTTTATTGGGGAATTGGGGGGATGGGAACAGCGCTGGGGAATTGGGGGAAGGGGAACAGATAAGTTGCTGTCATTTTGGTCTTCAGTCTAGTTGTGGAGGACGTTGCTTCACTGGCCCAAGTTGGCACCATCATTGCGCTCTTCCCGGGCGAGGCAGATCAGTCACCGGCTTCTGGACGGCCACTCACTGCAGCTGCTGGCCGCTCACACTGGCTGCTGGCTATATACAGTAGCCCATGGCAACCCACTGCCACAGGGGCTGCAGCCTACGCCATCGCCGGCGACTCACGGCAGCCCAGCTCCAGGTTGAGCTGTTGTTCAGCATCTTAGCTGTGGAGGGCAGTGTCACTGGCCCTCATATGTGGGATCCGAACCGGGGCCCTCTGGCGTCCCAAGCCAGTTCTTAACCATCGCGCCACTCGGCCGGCCCTAAAAATTCTTAATAATTAATATCAGCCATTGGAATTCATCAATATATAAAAAGAATTATTCGCCATGGCCAAGTTTTTATTCCATGGTTGCAAGACTGGTTAAGTATTTGAAAAATCAGTCATTATAATCTACTATATAAACAGGCTAAAGAAGAAAAAATAATATGATCATCTCAGTTGATGCAGAAAAACATTTGTCAAAATTCGACAATTGGGCCGGCCGAGTAGCGCATTGGTTAAATCTGGCTTGGGACGCCAGCTCTGAGCAGCAGGGCCCTGGTTCGGATCCCACATGGGGGCCAGTGACACTGCCCTCTACAGCTAAGATGGTGAACAACAGCTCGACCTGGAGCTGGGCTGCCGTGAGTCGACGGCGTAGGCTGCAGCCCCTGCTGCAGTGGGCTGCCATAAGCTACCATGTGTGACCAGTAGCCAGCGTGAGTGGCTGGCAGCCAGTGTGAGCTGCCAAGAGCCACCGTGAGCGGCCGACCAGAGGCCGGCGACCGATCTGCCTCACCCAGGAAGAGCACAATGATAATACCAACATGGGCCAGTGAAGCAACGTCCTTCCACAACTAGACTGAAGAACATAAAAGGACAGCAACTTGTCTGTTCCCCTTCCCCCAATTCCCCAGTGCTGTTCCCAACCCCCAATTTCCCAATAAAATCTTTAAAAAAAATTCGACAGCCATTCATGATAAAAAATAAATTCAGAAAACCAGGAATATGGGGGATTTTTTCAACTTAATGAAGAACATCTACAAAAACCCTATGGCTAACATTATACTTAATAATGAAAGACTGAGTATTTTTCTCGTAAAATCAGGAACAAGGCTAAGATGCCCACCCTTACAGCTGCTCTTCCACATAGTACTGGAAGATCTAGCCAGCATAGGAAGGCAAGAAAATGAAATTGAAGACATATAGATCATAAAGGAAGCAATAAAACTGTTCCTAATTGCAGATAACATATAGTGTGTGTAGAAAATCACAAGGAATCTACAACAAAACTTCTAGAACTGATAAGTGAGTTCATCAGAGTTGTAGGATATAAAATAAACATACGGAAATCAATTATGTTTCTGTATACTAACAATGAATATGTGGTACTGAAATAAAAAATGCAATGCCAATTACAATCCCTCCAGTGAAAATGAAATACTTACTTATAAATTTAATAGAAGATGTTCAGGATCTGTATGCTGAGAATTACAAACTGCTGATACAAGAAATCAATGAAGACCTACATAAATGGAGAAACATAGATGTCCATGAATTGGAAGACTTAATGTAGTAAAGATATCAATTCTTTCCACGTTGATATACATGTTTAACACAATTCCTAGCCAAGTCCCAGCAGGATTATTTGTAGGTATAGACAAGAACTTTCTAATATTTATATGGAAAGACAAAGGAACTAGAATAGCTAAAAAAGGATTAATTTGTGAGCAATCATTCTACCTGATTACAAGACTTATTAGGTAGGTACAATAATTAAGACAATGTGGTATTGGCAGTGATATAGACACAGAGATCAACGGAATAGAATAGGGAGCACAGAAATAGCCCCATAAAGTACAGCCAAGTGATTTTTTTTTTTGGCTGAGCCATCCTGCCACCTGTTGGCAGCTCAGCCGCAGCTCAGCTCGGGCTATGAATCGAACTAACTGATTTTTGACAAAGCTGCAGAAGCACTTCACTGGAGAAAGAATAGTCTTTTTAACAGATGCTACTGGATTAATTGGACATTCGTAGATTAACAAGTACCACGTATCTAGGCTAGTATCTAAAGTATATTTAAAAACTCAAAGCTGAACATAAAACAGTCCAAATAGAAAATCAGCAAAAGACATGCAGAAACATTTCACTGAAGAAGATATGCACATGACAAATAAAGATATGAAAAGATGTTCATTATTAGCCATTGCAGAAATGCAAATTAAAACACAAGTTATTACTACATACATATCAGAATGGCTAAAATGAAAATGGTGGTATCACCACATGATGGATTGGATGTGGAGAAACTGGATCACTCATAAATTCCTGGTGGGAATGTAAAATGGTATTGCCACACTGGAAAATAATTTGGCAGCTCTTTCAAAACTAAAAATAGACTTATCATGTAACCCATCATTTTACACTTTGGGGCATTTATCCCAGAGAAATGAAGACTTATTTTCATTCAGGAATTTGTACATAAATATTCATAGCAGCTTTATTCACAATAACCCCACACTGGAAACAACTCAGATATCCTTCAAAAGGTGAATGATTAAACTGCAGTACATCCATACCATGGAATACTACTGGGAAAAAAGAATGAACTATTGATACATACAACAGCATGGATGGATCTCAAGGGCATTGTGCTGAGTGAAAATGCCAATCTCAAAAGATTGCATACTGTATGATTCCATTTATATATGACATTCTCAAGTTGACAAAATTGTAGCAAGGGAGAACAGATGAGTGATTGTCAGGGATTAGGGATGATGCTGGAGGGCACTGGGTGTGCCCATAAAAGGGGTAGCACAGGGGGATCTTTGTAGTGATGGAATGGTTCTGTATCTTGATTGTGGTGGTGGTTACACAAGTCTATGCATGACATAGAACTGTACACACAGTTATACCAATGTCAGTTTCCTAGCTTTGATATTTTATTATAATTATTTTAGATATAACCATTGGGGAAAACTAGGTAAAGGGTACACAGGACCTCTGTCTACTCGCTTTGAATCTATAATTATTTCAAACTAAACGGTTTTTTTAAAAAAGCACTCTAGTGATTATGGAGCATGGATGTGAGGGGGACCAGACAGGGTGAAAGCAGGGGCAAGTATGGAGACTTGTCAGATGAAAGATGATGAGACCCAAATCTCTACAATATTTGTTGTGATGAAGAAAAGGAGACAGATATAAGGGATGATAAGGTAGTAGAATCAGCCGACATTGGGATAACCAGATGTGTAGGAGGTGAAGGAGAGCGAGGACTCTAGGATGACTTACAGGTTTCTGGCTTGGGAAATTGAGTAGATGCTAGATGTCTTAAATGAAAGAGGCCATAGCTCAGGAGCCTGAGGTGTACTAGAGGTAGACAAAAGCCATGTTTTCTGTGTCTGTTACACCTTTGTAAATCTAAGAGGTTGGCTTTCTGTGAATTTTGTGAAATTTTTTTTAAAGATTTTATTGGGGAATTGGTAGAGGGGAACAGCGTTGGGGAATTGGGGAAGGGGAACAGACAAGTTGCTGTCCTTTTATTTTTCAGTCTAGTTGTGGAGGACGT